CACGTTATCAACAAGCCACAAATGTCACTATTCTGCACTGAAGTAGGTGAAAATTGTTAATGAACTCCGTGTCACTGAAGCGAAGCACATCACCACTCACCACTCTTGGCTCCGTCTCCACATCCACACGTTCCTTTCAACGGACGTCGCTGCCGCTGCCCCACAAAACACCACGGCCAAAAACCTCGTCCTTCTCCTTCTCAATCTCCTCCTTAAAACAAGTAAGTTGTTCATGTTCTGGCTCTGGTACGAGCGGAACTTTAAAATCGCCAGGTGCTCAATGCTGCATCCATGTTTGGACAACTTCCGTAAACAAAGAGCACGCTCGCTGCGGTTGACGTCAATGTGTCCTCCATTGCGCATGCGGGACGCTTTCTGGCCGTTTAACGTTCACACAGGGATCACATACAAGTCACATTTAATTGTAAATGTGAACGAATATATATCGACAAAAATATCGGATTTCACAAAAAAAAAAAATCTGAATTGAGCATTAAGCCCTGCAGTCTGAACATAGCCTATGTTTAACAGTTGCATGTATTTTGGGCTGTTACTACTGGCCTCACCTCCCTCCACTGGTGCCATGAAAAATGTTTTATGTTTATTGCAGAGAATATAAATTGGGGGCCACTGGGCTAATCCACCTGTCAATCACACCCATCTGAACTCGAGGAGATTGAATAGGTGACCAGACTTGTTGCAAGGTGAGCACCATCCAGATACTCGTCTTCTGAGCCAGGATCTAAGTAGTTACCAAAGTTGCACATTAGAAAGCCAAAGCCTCTGGGGGAAACCAAAACTTTATGTTGAGGCGATTTTGTTTCCAAATTTCCAAAACTCTATACCTTTTGCAAATAAAAGATGTACTTGAAAATAGAGCCCTATCAGTTCACTCCTCGAAAGCTTCCTTCGAGTCCCGACCCCTGTGAAAAGCAATATAATTAAATAAATAGAAAAATGAAAATACTTCTTTGCTGCGAGTTTCAAGGCTGCTGTCTGCTTCCATTCATCCCCCGTGACTCATAATCCTGCCACTTCCCTCCTTCTGCCACCGCTGTAAAAAACATGACATTCAAAATAACCAATTAGCCTTTCCACAGGTCGCTCCCTCTCGCAAATTATGTGTTACACCCTTGGCACTGGCACGAGGAGCGGGGCAGGCAGAGGTCATGAGACAATAGTATGTTTTCAGACTTCATTATCACGTGTGCGCCTCCGTGCTCGCGAGGCTTCCAAGTGGCTGTTGGTCTCCGGTGACTCTGTGATAGAATAAGGCAGAATTAAGTGAGGTGATTAAAAATGAAACGACAAAGCCGCTCATTCGCATGAGACCGTTTACAGCGATGTCCTAAAGTGTGTCTCCAAGACCTGTAATCTGGCCCCCGGCTGATTATCTACTAAAATATTTTTAATTATATTTTCTATTAAAATATTGGTAATTTTCTGCGGTGTTCAGCATAGCAGCGTCTCCATCACCTCTGTGCGTGGCCCCTCCCACCAGAGCAGCACAAATGAAGACTTGTCTCTTTCCAAACGCTCTTAAAGGACGATCGTTCTGACTGTTGACCGTGACACCCTCATCAGCAAAACGTCAAAAATGAGAAAAGTGGATGCCAAATGCAGGATTTTCAAGAAAAATTGACTTATTCCTATTTGCATAGTTAATTAATGTTAGTTAATTTTAAAACATTGTGTTGAAATTGCATTTTTCTTAAAGTTTCAGGTTGTTCATATTATTATAATATTTTGTAAAAGAAAGAGTTCATCAATAAAAAAAAAAAATCTGTAATAGATTAGCGTTTCTCTGCACAAGTATTTAAATTTATTGCTATTTTTGGGGTTTATATGACATGAGTTTTTTTCCTGGCCCCTTTGGGATCAAAGTAGGTTGGATATGGCCCCCAGATCAAAATGAGTTTGACACTCCTGATCTACATAAACAAAGTTCAAAACGTTCTGTTCCATCTTGTGATGTCATGTAGTGGTAGTTTTCAAGTTAACAGCTATTTTTAGCAACATTATAACATGGTTAGAGAGAGAGAGAGACAGAGAGAGACACAGAGAGAGACAGTATTGATCTCGAGGGAAATTTAAGTTTTGTTGCAGAAAACTGCTCCAGTTGCTGCAGCATTTCCACTGTGCTTCTCAGTGTCCTTTGTGTTTCAGTCAAAGGTCTCAGTGCAGTTTAACAGGAGGACTGTTCAGGGAGGGTTTGCAGATCCTGTGGAAGAGCCAAAGTGTCCCTCCTCTGTGTCCTGCAGCATCACAGCAGTGTCCAGGAGGAGCCAGGTGAACACAACAGGAAAGGCCTCACTCTTACTCTGCTCTGGTGTTTCAGTTTGTGATGAAATGGTCCATTCCCTCCAAGTATTTCCTCTGAAGGTCTTCTGCCACATTTGCTGCCACATTTGGTGCAAAAAGCCTGTAGCATCTCAAATGTCTATAGCCAGCTCCTTGCACGGTCTGCAAGGGAAAAATAAACAGCTCACCCCACACAATCCAACAGTCCCTTGAACTCATTCCTTCAAGGTATTTCCTCTGAAGAAATGCTCACAAGACCAACTTGTGCGTAATATAGAACCTTTAAGCCATGTTAGAATTAAACGACCTCCACAAAAACCTGGAGTTGTGTTTTGTTTTGTTGTGCTCTCATTTTGTTATTATTTGTATGTATTATATAGAGTGAGTGAGTGATGATGTGAGAATTTTGATCACGTAAGGCGTAAAGTTATGAATGGCCTGCAACTGTGAGAATAAAGTGTAGTGTGTCCGTGTAGAATGTGGTGATCACACATAAAGAGAATAACATGTGAACTGTGTTTTAATGGTCATGATAAACGCTGTGTAGACGGACCTGCTAACAATTCAGAAAAGTTTGATAATCCCTTCATTATTAAACTGTCTACATCTCCAAAGTACAAAATGCTCTATTCCACCTTGTGATGTCGTCACGTGGTAGTTCTTTCACCTGACATAAGTAATAGTTTGACACTTCGATTCCTGATTCAGAGAAAATCCTCAGTTTCTCAGTCCTCTGTGTTGTTTTTTCTTTCTTTTCTTTTACGTGTAAGCAGTGATGTTTGTTTTTTGATGAGAACAGAACTTGAATCTCTCTGATTGTTTAATCCATCTGTCAATCACGCCCTCTGAAGCCAGGGAGACAAAATACATCTTCAGATCCACTCATCTGTGTACAGTTTTGTCAAAGCGTGCGGTTCTGGCTGGACAGGTAAAAGAAGTATGGTATGGTAGCAGCACTGGTATTGTTGTTTTTAGTTGTATTTCTCTGTTAACACTTAATGTAGTTTCAATGACAGGCCTACTGTACACTTGGAAGTACTTTTGGGGGACAGTCTACTCCACTATCCCTTGGTAGTCTTTGTAATTCTTCTGTGGTCTTATAAGGTGAAAGTTTCATTTTACATCTATACAAAAACACTCACGCACATGGATAATGTGCATTAAACGAGCACTGAATGTTTGGGCTCAAATTTCATTGTAGGTTATTTATTGTTATTCTACTGAAATATGACAATGAATATGTTTAACTGAGCAAAGACCAAACCCAAGAATATAAAAAAGTCACAAGGATATTTAACATCAAATTGTAATTCTTCTTCTTTTTTTCTGAGACAGACTGGTTTGGTTAAACTTGCAACTAGTGACTGACTTTCTACATCATTTCAGAAAATCCTGAAAACCTCTTTTCTCTTACAAATCTCAGCAGAACTAATTAAATATATTTGATGTTGACAAGGGCTGCAACTATGATTTTAGTCATTATAAAACTATTATTTCTGTTGTATCCTAAAGGGCCGTTCACACCAAGGCCTCAAAGCATCCACTTTCAATGTAAAGTCTATGTGGACGCGCGACTAGAGCGTCCTGCGTTTTTGCGGCGCGTTTTCGGCGTCAGCGCGGCGCGAATCTGGCATCGACGCGGCGCGTCTTGAGCGTTTTGGCGTCAGCGTCAAGAAGTTGAAAATGCTGAACTTTTCGCGTCAGACGCGCCGCGTCAACCAATCAGGGACGAGTATCCAGTGACGCAGCGACGTTATTATCAGGAAGAAAGACCCAAGAACCAGAACGAGAACCACAAACACGAGCGGAGAATAAATATATACGCCACAATCACCGAGCTGATCGCGAGGACTACACCAGGACCGGACCAGGACCAAACCAGGACTAGACCGGGACTAAACAAGGACTAGACCGGGAGTAGGCCGAGACTAGACCGAGACTAGACTGGAACCAAACCAGGACTAGACCGGGACTGATCCAGTGTCATTAGCGAAGTATAAATATATATACGCCCCAGTCGTCGACCCGATCTCCTCCGCTGATGTTTTATGTCATAAAAACACTCTCTCAGTCTGGTCTGACATTGTTTCGGGAAAAGAGCGGGACCGGGCTCTTGTTTCCAGGGCAACGGACGCGCGTCAAGTATTTTTGTCCCGTTCGTCCACGGCGTCAAAGACGCACGTCGAGGGCGTCTAAACTCAAATGCAAAGGCGTCCAAATAGAGGCGTCAAGGCGTTTTTTGACGCTTTGGTGTGAACGGCCCTTAAGACTTTCAAAAGTACATATTTACTATTCTATCCTTTAATCCAGTAGAATCATATTCTTTCCCACTTGTGATTCTACTTAATGGAGACAACTGACATATTTATTATGTCTGTACCATCAAAGTCAATATGAGACCAGAACACATGAATGGTGCAATACAAATACATTTATTTATAATACATATGGAAATAGTCTCAGTGGTCGCCTTGTGGACGTACACAGCAACACACAGCACCAACGACTCTCCGTAGCGCTCTACGTATACTCCCAAAAGAAAACCGTTTTGGAGCTTTGGTCACTGGAGGGGTGTGGGTGTCCGCTTCTTTTAGCCCAAGGAGGACTATGAGGTCAGAGCTTCTGGAGTAATAAATGGGCTGATGTTCATCCCAGGACCTGGGGGGCACAGAAGATGTTTGTCCACAAAGGGACCAGACGCCAGAGTCTTGGCCAGTAGATGTGTCTGATTTAGGAGCATCTGTCTGGGATTCAGCTGTTGCATCTGACACGGACGTTTGATCCTCCTTGAGGGGACTTAAGGAGGAGTCCACTGATGGACATATGGACATCAACTCCTCTGAGATCATGAAGCTAAAAAACACACACACAAATTAGTCCCCACAAACTCTTTGGGTTTTTATATAACTGTGTTGGTTGAGATGTGTAGACTTACTATCCCTGGAGCTCAGCCTTTTGCAGATGACCCATAGTTATGTAGTTGTGCTGGAGAGCCTGACTGGGAGTCAGTCTCTGGTCACCAAACATATTTAAGAGCCCCTTCAGGAGGTCAAGGAAGGCCTTCCTGTCCTCTACCTTGGCGGTGGAGTTTTCAGGAGGGTTCTGTACATTACAAAACAAACACTGATTAGACTGTGTGAAATACAGATGTGCATTATGAGGGCGAGTGTTGATCAGTCGTGGAGACTTACACAGACAAGGCCGTCCAAGCAGCTGGGGACTTCAAAGTAGCTGTGTTCCTCTTCAGTGGTGGTTTTGTATTTGGCAGCATATTCTTCTGCTGTCTGTACATTGACAAGAGTGTGAGTGAAATGATAAGGCTAGTTTTAAACATATCAAACTAAAACAATTCAATGTTAACAAGAAACAAAGTGAATAAGTACCAGAAGTCTCCATGCTGCGCTGTTCGAGGACTGGACTTGGGTAAAAAAGTTGTTGCTGTAGAGTCCAGCCTCTAGCAGGTGGTCTGGGGGCATGCCCAGTAAGGTCACCAGGCGCTTTACCGCCTGGTACTCACAAGTTACTGGGAATAGGTTTTCAGCCAGATAGAGAAAGGCCAGGATGCACCCAACCCCCCACACATCAATGGCCTCAGTGTAAGGGAGGCCGAGAGTGACCTCAGGAGCTCTGGAAAACAAAGACCAAGTTCAAACTAGTCCTGGTTTAGTCCTGGTTTAGTCATGTTCTCTGGTCATATTTTAAAGGAGACATATTATACAAAAATCAGACTTGTTTCTAAACTATGACTATTTTAGGTCAATATTGCAGTTTAAAGTGATGAATGTATTTAGTATAATATAACTAAATACAAGGGATACAAACATATGTCTCCTTTAAAAATCCATGCCCACTGTATTACTCCTGATATTAGTGTGAGTTGCCTCGTACCTGGATCCACACGGCTGGAGCGTGGCCCCCAGCTGGACTTGGGAGACCTTCCTGGCCTCTCCGAAGTCAATTAATTTGACTTTTAAAGGGTGCTCCTCCAGGTCACTGAACATGATGTTATCGGGCTTGATATCGGTGTGTACGATACCAAGCCCTTTCAGTGCGTCCAGAGCCACCAACAACTGCAAAGACACAAGAGGGAAAAAGAATTGATAAAAAGTCAAAACTGTAGTGTAAAAAATGAAGTTGAACTTCAAATTGCTAAGAATTGGGATGTAAGAAATGCACTAAAAAGTAACAAAGTGACGCTAACAGTTTAATATGAACTCGATGTGTTTGAAAGCATAAACCTTTGGTGAGGGCCTTCATGTTGCAACATAATATTTACAGTAAATCCTTTAGTACCTGGTGGGCAATAGGCCGGATCTCATTGAGCTGGAGTGGTACCCAGTCCCTGTTTGACATGAAGGAAAAGAGGTCCACTTCCAGCATCTCGAAGGCCAGACAGTGAAGGCCCATGACCTCGAACCGCTCCAGAAAGCACACACGATGTTTGTGCGGCTGGGGTCGAGGACATTGAGCTGCTCCATCATGGACACCTAAAGAGACAGAGATTTAAGTTAAAACTGTGAAGTCAAATACATGAAATAATACTGGTCCAAAAGTGCATTTAACAAAGCAAATACTGGTAGAGTCTAGATCATGTTCTGTTTAGTCCTTTAAATTCAATTAGTTTTTGGCTCTACCACCTCTGCCAATACAAAATCAAATCTTAACAAAAACTGTATTTGAATCAGGACAGAAGTCTGTGTGACTCTGAGCCTCCAGTTTCATTTGACAAACATGACTTACCTCGTGCTCCATGTCCTTAAACTGTTGCTCTTTGAGGAGCTTAACAGCCACAATCCGGTCCTGGTCCACGGCGTGGCACTTGGCTACGCGGCCAAAGCAGCCCTCACCAAGCCACTCCAGGACGGAGTAAGAGTCGGTCCGGCCCTGCAGGGTGTGACCGATGGTGACCTCTGAACTGGGCTGAGGTGCTAGACAAGAAAGACAAGACAAGACTTCATCAGGGTCAAATGCACTGGACACTTCGACAGGATTTTCTTTACTGCTACTTGCACTGTTGTTGTCCAATTGCAAAATACCACTGTTACCTTTAAAATAACTTAGTTCTACTACTACTACTGCTACAGCAATTACTACGACAATTACTACAGTCACTGTTTCAGAGTGAGTCAAGTGAAAGTAACTCGTGCTGAGTTAGTGTCTACTCTGGGTTTCCACTAACTTGGTTTTCATGTCAAATTGACTTTCACAACGTGTTAAATGTTCGTGTGCAGAAGTGGGTGTTTGTTTCTTACATTAAAACCTAAATATTTTGACAGAAAAGTGACTGAGAGTCACTGGAAACGGTTGTTTTTGAGATGTGTCTTGAGTGAGTCCTGTGTGGTTTTTGTGGATTACCTGCTGCACCAGAGGTCTCATAGGTGTCCCAAGATGACATAGTTGTACTCAAGGCAAACTTGGTCCAACGACGGGTTTCTAACAAAAAGTGCTCTGAGCTCTCGAGAGTGTGTGTGTCTCCTACGAAGGTCTCAGTGAGAATGACCAGGTGAAAAGTGACTGGACTTATATAACAGTTTTAAAAGATGCCAAAATGGATTCCATGGCAACGTCATGGCAACGGGGAGTTGTTTAGATTTAAAATGACTATGAGCAAATTCAGTAGAAATGTTGTGTTGAATTGTGGTAATCTGTGATAATTACTGATTTTATTGTATTTAAGTTTTAATATCCTCCATGAAATATGTTTATATCTTCCACTGTGTAAACTTTGGCACTTATTTCATTAGATCACTTTTTAAAATTTAGTTTTTTGTCCAGTATGTCCTTTGTTTGAAGTTTTGAAGTTGAATTTTTTTTTCATTTTATTTATGTATTTATTTATTATTAATTTCAATATTTAAGATTTTATATATATATATATATATATATATATATATATATATATATATATATATATATATATATATATATTCTAAGTTTCAAATTTCAAAGCAAAGGTACTCAGGACCATGTTAAAAGACGCATATGTATGGTTTAAGGTGAAAGGTCTGTTACTAACTTGTCTCATGGAGATGTTTTTTCTTTGCCTGGAATGTTCATAGTAGGGCATTATACGTGTCTGCCTTGCATTTGTTCAATTACAGGTATTTTATAGTTCAAAAATACCTTAAACAACATGAATTCTTAGTGTCTGCAGGGTTGCTTCTCCGTAGATTTGACCATTGACCTGTCTCCATCATGATTACCAAATGTATTTCCATACTGTGGAATAATCAAGGTAAACCAATAAGATATCCATGGAGACAAGCAGGTGGCAGACCCTCCACCAGAAAGGTTGCACAGTGCAACTTACAAGCCAATAACAATACAAATATTCATCCATCCATCCATTTTCTTCCACTTATCCAGGGCCAGGTCACGGAGGCAGAAGTCTAAGCAGGGGCTCCCAGACTTCCTTCACCCCAGAAATGTCCTCCAGCTCCTCTGGGGGGACAATACAAATAATGCTTGATATTTGTTATTTTAATTTTAGTCCAAGAAGTGCCAACATTACTTCATTTTGTTGGCATATTAGATACACAGATTTTGGATATCTTTTTTAGTGCCTTCACTCAATTTTATTTCTCTCCAGCGACTGGGTCAGGAACCAGAATACATTAGGTGGTTTGCAAGAACCTCTGAAGTTGTAGACCACGCACCGGCCAATCAGTGAAGAGCTGTGAAGGAATGACGTCGAACTCAAGCACCTGTCTGGGTCCATTTTGTGGTACAATGCAACAGTCAACGATGAAGTCATACATTCTGTGTTGGGAACGATTCCTGAGATCGAGGATTTAAAGCCGGAACAAAGAGAATGTTTGGTGAATTTTATTAAGGGGGAGACGTTATTGCTCTTCTTCCTACGGGATTTGGTGCATTACATATGTCACGACCAAATAGCAGCGATTGGTTAAATTAAAAAAGTACCAGCCCACCATCGAGCGAACGAATAGTAATGCTGCGAATGAATCCTAATGCCACGAAGTGAAACCGGCAGATGAATCAGGCTCGATCGTACTGGCAATGCACATGAAAATTTAATTCAATTAGTAACTGATTATTTTGTATGACCTTAAGGCTCTCTAAAATGACTTTCCATTGATCATTTTGATGGATATGACCTCATAACATTTAGAATAATGATTTGCCATCGGTGGGTCAAGCAAAAATAGGTCGATTGAGTTATCCAGAGTGGGACTACACAGTGGTGATGCACGTGGAAAGGCTGAGGAGGCTGTAGCGGTGTCAGAAAGGATGTGGTTTGAAGCAGCTAACTCACCCGCGATGTCAGAGAGATGAAAGTGCATTTACAGTGTGAGTGGCTTGACGGGAGATTGGCTGACTGGCACAAGACGCAAGCTGACAGGTGACAGCCATGTAAAAGGGACAAAGGGGAAATACTGTATTCCAATTTCCAAATCCAATTTATTTAAACAGAAACGAATAAGGCAGCAAACTGATTGATCTGACTGATTTGATCTTACTGGTCCACAAAAAGCAAAGAAAGCAAATGCCACAAACACATAATGTCAACCTTTTTCTTTTTTCTTTTAAATGAATACTTTTTTGCCCATTTCAAACTTAAACCCATCCCTCAATCAGTGCTGTTGATGGTGCCACAGAATGACACCAAAACAGAAGCAGAGATGACATGGAAAAATGTAAAATGTAAACAGTGTAATTCTGAATGAGCTTGGATCTAACGTCTACAGAGGCCACAAGGAGAGGCGTCTTATGCTTCAGATCTGATTGAAATATCAGGATAAAGCTTCAAACAGACTCTATTCTAAAAGAAGGCCTTAAAGTGGACTTTCATCAAGTTGGATTCTTATAAAGGCCAGTCAGTTGTGTAGAATAGCCTATAAATGCAATGCTGGGGCTGTGAGGTCATCTAAAAAAATAAATAAACAAGCTCAATCAGAGATATCAACCTGGTCCCCCATGAGGCATCCTTGGGGTCAGTTCATCACCACAGAAGCAGTTTATGAGGAGCCCAGCCCATATCACATGATCATTATATCCACAATGTAATGTGTGTATCTGTACAGACCCATGAACATTTGTGTGATATTGGTCACACATGAGAATGTCTGTGTTTACTAGTGTGTAACCAAAATGACATTTTTCATGAGTTGTGTATATGTTAGTTGTGTGACTGTAGATCAGTGTGTTGTGTATCACCAGAAAACAAGAAATGGAAATTAGTTTGGTTCCAATTAGAATTTTACCGGCATACAGTTGTGATAATTAGTGATTATCTCAAAAACTATTAATATTTTACTATACAAATGCATAGAATTATAAATAGATAATATTTTTCTGAGATTTTGAGACCACTCTTGTTGCTCTAGCTCGATCCTTTGTGGAGTTATGACCAAAAACACATATTTGACCTTGGTTACCTTGACCTTCAAGTGACCTTGACCGGTTTCAAGCTGTAACATCCAGTGTACCTCGATTATGTGTGTGCCAACTTGTGTGATGATTGGGTGAATATTTTAGGCCGCAGATCGTTCAGAAATTGCCAAAATTGCCTGTCCTTTATAATGGTGTGACCTTTCAATTGACCCATGTGACCTGAAATGACCTGGGATCGTCACCAAACCTTTTTTGGTGCCGATCCGAAATTTGGTGGCAATTGGTCCATAAATGACGGAATTATCGCAGGTGTACAAAAACACACAGGCACACTGGGTGAATACAAAACCTGGTCAACCCTTTGGGGACCAGGTAATAAAGATGAAGATCTTCTCTTACGGAGCCACCTGTCAATCAATCAAACAGTATCACTTTATTTAAACACAATGAAGAGTAAAATACAAAATAGAAAGCTCAAATAAAAGTCTCAACAGGTAGGCATCAGATCCAGGATCATGGCAGTTTGAGGAGAGTAACAGCTCTTAGGACAAAGTTTCCCCTCTGCACATCCCCTCTGTCCTGAAGCTCGGACATCACAGCAGCCTCTCTCCCTCTGATTTGTCAGAATAACGTTGCACACATGCAAAAGTGCCTTAAAGCGGACTTTCATCAAGTTGGATTCTTATAAAGGTCAGTCAATTTTGTAGAATAGCCTGTAAATGCGATGCTGGGGCTGTGAGGTCACCTATCAATCAATCAAACAATATCACTTTATTTAAGCACATTGAAGAGTAAAATACAACAGTAACAGAAAGCTCAAATAAAAGTCTCAGTGCAGCTCAACACGTAGAGTCATCAGATCCAGAGTCAGGGCAGTTTGAGGAGAGTAACAGCTCCTTAGGACAAAGTTTCCCTTCTGCACGTCCGCTCTGTCCTGAAGCTCGGACATCACAGCTGCCTCTCTCCTTCTGATTTGTCAGAATAACGTTGCACACACGCAAAAGTATGACTGCTGACAGGTACAGTCTGGATTACATCAAGGAGAAAAACAGGATTCAGAGCCAGAGCAACAGGCGCTGTAACTCACTTTGAATGTCAAAGAATGTCAAGTGTTCTACCATCTACTATGATTTATGTATGCCTGTCACCACAATCAGAAGGCAATATATTGGGAAATTAGACCTGTTGTACAATCTAACTAAAGTGAAATAATGTGATGCCAATATCGTATCTTAATCCGTGCTCGAGATTGCCCCTGGTCCAGCTGCAGTTCAGTGTGGGACTGGTCTTCTTGCGGTTACACTCACTTCTGCTGTGCTGCTGTGGTCACCTTTGAAGGCTGCACAGAGACCACATGTTCGTGCGATAACTGCTCATTTATTGAGGGAAAAGGCTGTAGCCGTTCCAGCGTTAGGCAAAAATAGAATCCAACTGAATTAATCCACCTCCGCTGGCACCACCGCACTGCACGGCCTGTCCTCTGAGCTCCTCTCGGTACTTAGAACTATACTGAATACTTGGGGTGGTTATGTTTTGGATATAGTTTAATGAGATATTAAACTACCTACGACTACCTATCTGCTATGATTGACGGCCTGAAAAGGCAACGGAAATGACACCCATGACAAACATCCAGACGTAATGATTAAGGCAAAAGTGAGAATCCAGGTAAGGCACACGTGACATGATGAAAATCCTTTGGCAGATGAGATGACTAACTCCAGATCATTCACACATATTCATTTAAGCAAGTTCAGCCAGGGACAGAGGAAGACAAAGAGAGTGAGTGAAAGGAGATCTTATCAGGCAGTAGTGTTTTTAGTTTAGAATAAAGTTTAATACAGTAGTAATACTAGTGGAGTTTAAAGTACCCATAGGAAGGACTGAGACAGTAGGGCATAGACCACAAAGCAGGACTTGACTTAAACGTGCTAGTTTTGGAACCGCTGGTCTAAAGCATTGTTTCAAAAGACTGGAGATTTTTTTTTTGGGTCGCCTTCTCACGATCTGCATGTAGGTCTGAAATATACAGTTCTGACA